GGAGACACAGTGGGGGAGGGGTGGGGGAGGCCAGGGCTTTTGTGTTTGCTCAGAGGGCCCTGGAAGTAGCTGGGACAGCGGCCTGGAAACTTTGGGAATTCTACAGAAAGGCAGGGTGAGGGCCTGGGTCCTAACAAATCGGCCTGTTTAAGATTTCACTGCCCCAGAAAAATGACGGCTTTGGAGGGGAGACACACACACACACAACCCATCACGGCCTCCGATCCATCTTTTCTCTGAAGCGAGCCTTGTACATCCAGGGAATGAGGCTTGGCTGGCAGAGAGAGAGAGAGAGAGAGAGAGAGAGAGAGAGAGATATCCCAAGAATCCCAGATCAAACATGTAAAAAAACCACTTCCCCAGCCCTGGTCACCTCCCCTCTTGTGTGAAGTTTCTTAATGACTCTGAGACCCAGGTAACCACAGTTCCCACCCCCAGCGGGTTGTGCCAGGATGAAAGGAATACATGCCAAGCACCTGGAATGTGCCAGGCATTTGGTAAGTGGTGGCTTTTCAGATGATTATTCAGCTGCCCTTGACCGCTCCCACCCCTAGCCAGGCCCCAGGACCATGGCAAAGCCCTCCTGTGGGGACAGGCTTCCTCTCCCAGGGGCAGGATAAATGTCATCGTCTCCATTTTACAGAGGGGAAGACTGAGGTCGGGAGTCCTCGCAGTCTGAAAAGAAGTGTCCCCAGTAAGGAAGGGCACTGCTGTGGCCAGCTTAGATTGACAGTAGCCAGAGGCTGGAGGGGAAATGTCTGGTCTCAGATGCATCTTGGACTAAGGGAGGAGAGGGAAGGACCACTCCTCAGCTGCCCCGCAGTGAAATCACGGATGTCTTCTAGGAGTGGCCAGGGGTGAGGGGGTGAGCGGGGAGGTGGAGCGTGTGGGAAAGCTGGGCAGTGCACCAGCTTGGGGACTTGGGAGCCTGGCTCCATTCGCCAAGTGCCCTCAGTCCTCGTTTCCCTCACCCGTGAAATGGGAACGACGGTGCCTCCGCTGTGGCCAGTGTCCAGCCACCCAGCCTTCCCTTGCCACCAGCCACTTTGCAACTCCGAAGCAATTTCAGTTCCTCAAATGCTGCACCCTCCTGCTCTCCACCCCCCACCCCAAAACCCTCCCGAAGATCCTCCCCTTTGCTTTGGGGACAGGCTGCCTTTCCTGTTTACTCAGCTAACTCATAGGCATCCTACAGGTCCCAGCAGATATCGCCTCCCCCAGGGAGCCTTCCCTGATTTCCCCGTCCAGGTAAATTCCCCCGGTGGTGGGGAACAAACGCCCTTGGACTTCCCCACTCGGAGCACTTGTACACAGATGAGTCGTCAGCTATTGATTGTGACTTCCTCACCTGACCGTGCTCGCCAGAAGGCAGGGGTGGGTCAGCTTTGGTCAGGGATAGACCTGCAGCACTTCGCAAGGTGCCAGGACAGGGTCTCAGCACGCCCTTGCTGGAATAACACCACAAAAGCAATCCAAAGAGGGTCATTTCCTCCCCTCTCGGCGCCCTCTGAGGCAACACCCCGGGAGCCAAGGGTGGTCCTTGGTTCAAGAATGAATCCTCCTGCCTCTGCTTTCTAATTTGACAAAAGCATGTACTGTATTACTTTAGCTGGAAATCTGGAGCTACACCTCTTAGAGTAAGCCCTGCACTGAACAAACTTCTGGGTCTACCCTTGTTCCTGGCTCTAGGCCCAGCGATGATAGATGGAGTCCCCGCCACGGCCCAACCTGCTGGCATCCTGGACCTCGGCCTGGATCCCCCACCCTGCCCCGTGAGGTGAGCCCGTGGGCCACCCGAGCAGGAAGCTGGGCTCCAGGAAGGGTGCGGCCACAGGGCGCCCAGGCACCACTGGGAGGGCAGGGTTCCTTCAGCTGTCATTTCTACTCCGCCTCCTTCCAGCTCCTGGGTGGAATGAGTAAGTGATGAGCGAGCCAGAGAGGGGGAGACCTGGCAGGCAGCAGGCTGGGGCAGCACCCCGTCTGCGGTGGCTGTGGTTAAGCTCATGTCTCCAGAGAAACATGAAGGGGCGGTGAAGACCGCGGCAGCCCTGCCCCTCTCTGCAGAAGAGGCCCGGGAAGGGGAAGACCTCTCTCTCTCTTTTTCTCTCTTTCTCTTTCTCTCTTTCTCTGCAGGGGAGGCCCGGGAAGGGGCAGAACCTCGCTGGAGGCTGCCCCTCCGCTTTGTGCTCTGAGGGCAGCTCCAACTCCAGTCAAGCAAGGAGAGGGGCAAACGGTTCTCAATCCAGGGAATCCTTTCCCGGCCCTGCACCCTCTGTGGGTGCTGGTCGCCCTGGCCTCGGGGTACAGATGCCATCGATCTAACACACATGTTTGAGTGCCTACTGTATACCAGGCACCATTCCAGTTACTGGAGATAGACCAACCAACAAAAAGTTCCTACATTTAGGGAACTTTTGTTTCAGACGGTAACTGAACCGTCTTTTACGATAAAAATGCCTTATTATAGAGCTATTTCCCTATCTAGACGGAGGTCGCACTGAGAGAACGAATCCGACTCTAGCTTCTCCAGGGGGCCTGTTACCGAGCCTGACGCTCACTAATGCTAACTTTCCAGACACCAGAAAACGGCCCCAAAAGGGCTGGTCCCCAAATCCAACCTTTCCTTGGTGCACAGGCCCTGGCGGTACCTACAGACCCGGAGCCGGGAGCAGCAGCTCCACCGCATCTGACCACACGTGCAAAAGAGTGGCCTCACGTTTCCAGGTGATTTCAGAGGGAAATCCACCCGGGCGGTTTTTCCACTCAGTGGCGGCGGGTGCAATCAGGCCGCTTCTGGTAGCAGATCCAGGAGACATGAACGTGGCAGTCACGAGGGAAAGATCAAAACCACGGATCAAAGATGCGGACCAGAGAAGCACCGAGGGGGCTCCCGGGGGGAATCCCAGAGTGGGGAGAAGGTTACCAAGACACAGGCCAGTGGGGAAAAGTGAGGGTGAACGTGCACACATTTGCACAGGCCTGCATCTGAAGCAACAGTCCCGGCACATCTCTGTGGCCGGTAGCGTTATCATCAAGGCCCCGGGCAGCTCGAGAGCGGTGGCCCTTACCCAGCGTGTATGTGGGGCCCGAGACGCCGCGGTCCTCGCTGACGCCCAGGAAAGGAGAGACCACTTGCTTCACCAGCTCCTCCAGCTGCAAACAGCCCTCGCTGGGGCCCGTGGGCTCATGAACACTCTGGAAACAAACATCCAAGAGGGGCAAAGGTCACTCAGCGTCGCCAAGGCCAGCGGGCCCTCCGGCCACGTCCAAGGCAGTGACCCCAGCAGGCAGGTCCCCGTGGCTGGAACGCAGGGAACCGAGGCCTGCAGCCCGAGCCACACGTCACGGGTCCCCGTGATCAGAACGGTGTGTGGAGGGTGCCATGGCACCTCTCCCCCGGGTTCCACCAATGCAGCTTGGGCGGACGGTCCCCACCCCGGCTCTGAGGTTGAAGATTGGCCCCAACCAAAGGAATCCCACCCCCACTGTCACACTCGGCACGCAGGCTCTTTCTAGAAGCAGGTGACACCATCAAAGCAAAGAGTCCTCCCACCAACCCGAGGAAGGTGACAGTCTCGTCATCTCCCTCTACAGATGAGGAAATGAAGGCCCAGGGAGCTTAATCAAGTTGTCCAGGGGAACACAGCCGGTCCATGGCAAAAACCCAAGAATGGGTCCTACCGGTTTGGCTCAGTGGATAGAGCGTGGGCCTGCGGACTAAAGGGTCCCAGGTTCGATTCCGGTCAAGGGCACATGCCTGGGTTGCAGGCTCGATCCCCAGTAGGGGGCGTGTAGGAGGCAGCGATCAATGATTCTCTCTCATCGTTGATGTTTCTAACTCTCTCTCCCTCTCCCTTCCTCTCTGACATCAATAAAACAAAAACAGAAAATACAGGAATGGAACCCAGGCTGTCTGGCTCCGAGCATATCTTCCTGCCACTTGTGAACAGGCTAGAAAAGAAAGGGGGACCGAATATGAAAAAGTCCAGAGCAGCAGAAGAAAGGGAGTCACAGTGGAACGAGATGCGTGTTGAGCCCCAAGATGAAGAGGCGGTTCCAAAAGCCCAGCATGACTGGCGTCCTCAGAGCCCAGGCCAGAGCAAACACCAGCTGAAACAATGACCACAGCCGCCAGATCCGGAAAGGAGCCAGAAGTGACCAAGGTTTTCTAGAAAACCAGCAGACTCCTAGGGACCCAGCTGATCCCTGGAAAGGATACCAAGCCACGCTCTGGGGCCCAGGGGCTGCCGGGGAGCAGAGAGGCAAGGACCATGGTGCCGTGCTCAGCCCACGGGCCGTCCTGTCAAATTCTCAAAGTGGAATGGATTTTAAAACACCCTCCCACCTGGCAAACCCCAGTGCAAAATGAAAACGCGGGGTCCCTTGTTCAAAAATTATTAAGAATTTCAAGATGGTGCCCAGATGGTGTGGCTCCGTGATTGAGCATCTTTCCACACACCAGGAGGTCTCTGGTTTCATTCCCGGTCAGGGCATGTGTCTGGGTTGTGAGCTTGATCACCAGCAGGGGGCGTGCAGGAGGCAGCCAATTAACCCTTTGAGTGCCAACCAGTATCCTAGGAACGGTGCTAAAATTGCCAAGGCGTTTTTGCTGATTTTACAGCAGTTTAGGAAAAAAATTATGAATCGCAAGTAAATGAAGTTACATACTCAAAAACTTAAGGAACCCTTTACTGCATTGACATATTTAGCAATATCATCATCACTAATAAAAGCAGACTTAGAACTGGACGCCATTTCGAAGCTTTGATAGCGCTCCCGGCACTTTTGGCAAAAGACAGGAGGAGCGTGATCGCGCTCCCCGGCACTCAAGGGGTTAATGCTCTCAAATTAATAAAAACCTATTTAAAAAACAAGCAAAACAGTCTTCTGGGTTAACCCCAGAGAGCTGAGCCCAGCCCCGAAGGGCCGAGCCGAGCCCTAAGAGCTGAAGCGAGTCCCTAAGGGACAACCCTAGTGCCTATGAGCGCAGCCTAGTCCCAGAGGGCTGACCAAGTCCTGAAGGGCGGAGACCAGCCCCCAGGGGCCTAGCATAGCCCCCAGGAATCCCGTCCAGGCCTGAGGAGGTAAAGCTAGTCCCTGACGGGTGACCCTAGCCCCGAAGGGCCCAACCTAGCTCGGGAGCCTTAGCCTAGACCTGAAGGGCAGAGCCAAGCCCCTCAGAGGCCTGACACGGTCTCCCTTCTGGCTGCTGTCTTTTTAGGAAACCCACCTGCCCTGGGAACCTTCCAGGGAGCCCTGGTCTGCTTGAGCGGTGGGTTCTTGCTGTTACTTGTAACCCCTGACTCCCTGACAGAACAGGGGAGGAGGGGAGGGTGCCCCCTGGCTGAATGACCGGACTGCGTCTCCCTCCCACCAGGACCCCAGCACAGAGCTCAGCGCCACGGACCTCAGAGATGCTCAGGGGCTGTCCAGCAAAAGGAAAGTGAGCTAAGGGACATGAACGACTAAAGGACACTACACTAAGCTAAGGCGCTCTGGTCATTCGGTTCCTTCCTTCCCCCTTATCCACAGCGGCAGTCTCTCTCCTTCTTTTCTTCCCTCGGCCTTGGGGTGGCGTCTCCCCCGGGGCCTCACCTGCAGGATGAGCAGCATCTGGACGATGGACGGGGGCAGCTGGGACGGGCCCAGCAGCAGGTCGCCCAGCTTCACCTTCAGCAGGACCAGGTCACGGAAGCCCAGCAGGGAGATCTGGCGGATGGTCAGCTCCTGGCCCTGGGGGAGGGAAGAGGCAGTGTTGGGAAGAGAGAGCTCCCTGGACCTGCCACCAGCCACATGGGGGTTGTCAAAGAGGCGGGACTTGGCCTCCATCCTTCAGAACGAAAGCTTTGCTTAACATAAGGTGCGGCTGGACCTGCCTAAATAACCCACAGGTGATACAAGACGCTTGTCCTGGGGGCCATGCTGTCCCGGTGCCCCGTGAGGGTCAGAAAGAAGGAAGACAGAGGCAGATGGGAGAAACAAGAGCAAAGATCACCACCTCCTTCCCACATTCAAGGCTGCTTCCTCCACTTCATCCGTTAACTATTTGAGCACCAGTCACATGCCAGGCGAAGGAGGAAAGCATGGGACCTGTTAGATCAGCGGTTCTCAACCTGTGGGTCGCCACCCCTTTGGCGGTCGAACGACCCTTTCACCGGGGTCTCCTAAGACCATCCTGCATATCAGATATTTACATTACGATTCATAACAGTAGCAACATTACAGTTATGAAGTAGCAACGAAAATAATTTTATGGTTGGGTCACAACATGAGGAACTGTATTTAAAGGGCCAGAAGGTTGAGAACAACTGTGTTAGATTCATATAAATGCAAGTAACTCAGGAAGAAAAAGAACTGGGGGAGTAGAAGGAAGGGACTTGTTCAGCCATGTGGGGTGGGGACAGAGAAAGAAAATAACAGCTAACAATCCTAAGAACTGACACTAAGCTCTGACCATGGCTAGGCATGATTCTAGATATTCTTGATGTAAATTGAACGCCCATGACCACCCTTTGCGAGAGGTACTATTATAAAACCCACTTCAAGGTGAAAAACCCTAAAGCCCGTACAGCTGGATGGCAAACCTAATCTTTTTTAAAAATATATTTTTATTGATTTCAGAGAGTAAGGGAGAGGAAGAGAGAGATAGAAACATCAATGATTAGAGAGAATCATTGATCGGCTGCCTCCTGCACGCCCCCGAATGGGAATGGAGCCTGCAACCCAGGCATGTGCCCTGACCGGAATCAAACCGTGACTTCCTGATTCATAGGTTGATGCTCAACCACTGAGCCATGCCGGCCAGACTAAACCTAAACTATTTGATTTTGGAGCTCCTGAAGTTTGCCAAAACAGAAAGGGAAAGAAGGGCCCATGTTCCAGGCTCTCCTTTGCACATATATATAGACAGAACACTCCAAAAAGCAATTGCTCTCAGTAGAGACAAAGATATCATTTGAGTATCCCCTGCCAATAGCACATGGGTTCCCACCCTTCAAGACTACCAAGGCTTGAGAAAGTTTAGCATTTCTTATAAGTCCTTAGGAAGATTTTACAGAAACATGGGCAAGAGTGGTGTGGCCAACCCTGCATCCCTCTACCCTCCAGTCCCGAGAAGCTAGAGTCGGATTCGTTCTTTCTCTCAGTGCGACCTCCGTCTAGATAGGGAAATAGCCCTATTTCCCGAGCATTAACCCCTGGAGGCTGTCAGTTGCAAGACACATAACGCCACCCACACCTTCCAAGGCCCAGTTCCACCACCCCTCTGGACTGCCTTCCCTGACCACCTCACTGGCAGTGGTCCACCCCCTCCCCAATCTTTTCCAAGGTCCTGTAGTTTCTGTGTTTTGCATCATGCCCCAGTACTTGGCACTGACACTTATCTGGTAGGTACCTGCCCTCACTTTATCTCCTAGAGCCCTTTCAGTTTACAAGAGGGAAAACCGAAGGCACAGCAGGCGCTCAGAAACACAGCTGTCCAATGAGAAGTAGGTCTCACAGACACCTCAACACACAGGGAGTTGTGAGAAGGATCCAGCTGGACTCACAGACACCTCAGGGGGTGTTACTACCGGTAGGGAGCACCCCTAAGTCAGGGGCCTCTGGACCAGCAGCAGCAGCAGCACTTGGAAATTAGGGGGAAGTGGACAGGAGCAAAACCAATTATTGCCAGATCTTACAATCTTTCTAGAGAAGCGGGGGGGGGGGGGGGGGGGTACCAGCCTCAGACCTGCACAACTGGGCTCCTCTAGGCCCCCTGGCGACTATGTCAGGACAACGCCCACCCAGATCCCACACGCCCCATCCTAACCCCATCTGGGCACCCTCACCTGGGATTTTCACGCCCAAATGGTCCTAAGAGAGACCCAGGACGGCAAACCCCCTGCAGTGGGGTGGCCAAGTTATATGTGAGTGATTCTCTAGTCTATGTCTCAGACCTTGCGTTGTTTATGTTGATCTGAATTCCAGATTTAACTCAGCATCCTGTATTTTCATTGGCTAGATCTGCCTACCCTACCTCCCAGGACTGCCTTTTTAAGACCCACTGCTGGCCGAGGAGTGACCACAGCAGGGAAGGGAGACGCTTCTGAACACGGGGTGTGGGGGAAGGGAACTGAGCTGTCCACATCAATGCTTGCTCTCAGTCCTCTCTCAGGGGAGCAGGACGAGCTGGGAATGGGGGGAGGAGAGCTGTGGGCTGCAGGCTGGGGGTTTCCACCACCATTGTCAGGGGCAGGCCCAGAATGGGAGATGGACTCCACAGGCATAACCTCCCAATTTTTAAACATTTGACAAATAGTTAAAAGAATTCCAGGTTCCTTTAAAACAGCACTCAGAGCTAACAAAGCACGTGGCTCATTACCTCTGGCACCAGGCAGTTCCCACCATGGCTAACGGCTGGGTGGTGGCTGCGCCCATTAGCCCAAGTAGACAGGACCCTGAACCCGGGGGGCAGGAGTGGGGCAGTGCGCATGGCAGCGCAGGGGTGTGACACCTGGGTCCACCCGCCTTAGGGGGTGTCCGTGCTGACCTGGCACTGACCAGCCCTGCAGCAGGGTGGTGGGAAATAAGTGGGAGAATGAGCTGAGGTCACAGAAGGAGGCACCTCTGCTCTTTCTGCCTAAATTCCTCCCTTTGCAGGAGACGAAATGGAGCTACGTTCCGAGAAGTGAGATGGGTTTGCCCAAACCCCACGAGATCCCGAGTCGGGGTTCTTTCTGCCACGTGGTCTTCAGGAACCCTTTGTGGAGGGCAAGGAACACCACTCCTTTCCCACAATCTGGGAGCAACAGGGAAGTTGCTTAAAAATCGGGCTTCAGAGAAAGGGGGGGGGGGGGGGGAGAGGGAAAGAAAAGGAAGACTAAGAAGCAGGCCACTCCAGGAATATTCGGACATTCTCCAAACCAAGAGGGCGACGCGGGCCTACGAATCGCTACCTCTGCGGGGCCTCCTCTTTGCTGGAGGTGAGATGCTAAGGATGGAACCAAGCACCCTGCAGAGACCTCCCAGTCCTTAGCCAACTCAGGCTCCCGACCTCCTGTCCTCCCCCGTCACCAGGAGGCTGCAAGTGGCAAAGGCCGAGCCGAAGCTCTTCCGGCGAGACTGACCTGAACGGGGTAAAATATGGCCTGCAGGGTGGGGAGGGTCTCAGTGAAGAAGTGGTCCCAGACTTCAGCCAGAACCTCAATGCGATTTTCACCTACACGGGGGCGAGAAGACGGGAGGGGGAAGAAAGAAAAGAACTTGTCATTACTTGCAGGAGAGGCCAGAAGACAGTTCCATCCATTGGAGCATGGGGAGAGGGGGGCGCAGGGGACGAAGGCCCCTCACCTACATTTGATCTGTAAGGTGTTACTACAGTAACCACGGGATTGGATGGAAAGACTCAACTGGAAATATGCAAATATGCCTTCTGGCCCCAACCCAGAAAAGGGAGCTGAATTTTGAAAATCGTATAACAATTGTTATTATCACAAGAATGGTTACAACATTATCAGTCCCTGTGCTAAATTACTCATCCATGAGACATCTCATAAGTAGACTCTATTACCCTATGATACAGGCTCAGAGAGGTCAAGTACCTGGCTCAAAGTCACACAGCAAAAAGGCAGAGTCGGGATTCCAGAACCGTGCTCTTGAGCAACATAAACTGGGCAAACCCTGTCCTCGCTTATATATTGCTTTGGTTGTTGTTTTTTGATCGCTAAGACAATGGCTTTTTATTCTGGATTTGAGCTGTCAGTTGAGGGAGGTGGAAAGAGGGCCGAGAAACTGTCACCTCCACCCACTGCTTTGCAGCATTTCGGTCACTTGTGGGACACAGGACCCGTACCCGGAGGCAGGGCCTACTCTCACCCCTGGGAGCAGGGAGCCTGAGCCATGGTCACGCACCACCCCCCGGCTAGATGACACGGGTCACCCAGTGCCACCGGAAGGCTGTGTGAGGAACTTTGCACCTGCAGGAAAGGCGGGCGGCGAGGCTGAGAGGGGCCTGCACGGTGGCTGCTGTTTAATGACCCAGATAACAGAACTGATTGGGCACTGTCTGTGCTCATCTGAGGCAGAGAAACTGGGTCAACCAAGATTAGACACAGAGAGCTGCGTTTGGCCCAACACCGCCAGTTGCACTGAACTGATACAGAGCTCCATGTAGTACGTTCCATCTATTAGTTTAATGGACAATAAAAGCAGTGGCTGGGAGAGAGAACAGAGCAAGGGCATGACCGGTGGCTAGCAGGGCCGAAGGCATGCAGATCTGGAAAGGTCAGTGCGAGATGTACTTGGGGAAAATGCAAACCCCTAGCGCCCTCCCCTTTCCCTCGCACAGCGCTAATTACACTCTGTTGGGATCGCTTATGCTTGTTTTACTTCTCTGACTCCACCAGGACGGGAGTGAGTGCCTGGGCTCTTTCTGTCCTGCTCACCATTATATTTCTAGTGCTTAGCATGATAAATCAATTTCTAGACATCTTGGAATGAATGAATGAATGAATGAATGAATGAATGAATGGCAAGTGTTAAGTGTACAGGGTTGTGGGGTTGTTTTTGTTGTTGTTTTTACATGCTTTTATTGATTTTCAGAGAGAGAGGAAGGGAGAGGGATGGAGAGATAGAAACATCGGTGAGAGAGAAACATCATTGATCGGCTGCCTCCTGCATGCACCCCTACTGGGGATCAAGCCTGCAACCTGGACAGATGCCCTGACCGGGAATCGAACCCTGACCTCCTGGTTCATAGGTCGATGCTCAACCCCGAGCCATGCCAGCCAGGCGGTTGTGGTTTGTTGTTTTTTTTTGCAAACACTAGGGCTGGTGAGTGGAGGGAGGTTACCATTTAACCCAGATATGGGACAGGATAGAACAGGACTTCATGATTAGCTCCAACACTCTCCTTTGCTTAAAGAAAACCTCCATAATGTGGGCCTCTTGGCCAGGGAGAGTCTGCTTCCCTCTGTGTCGTCATCGTCTTCTATATTCCCCTCAGCCTCTAGCCCTCACTCTGTGGGTTTTATTTCAGTCCCTGCCACTCACCAGGTCCCCTCGTGCCTCAGGGCCTTTGCAGGGGCCAGTCCCTTTGCCCGGACTGTTCTTTCCCTCCGCTCTCTGCCTAACCTACATCGTTTATCTTTGTAGTTTCAGCTCCAACACATATTTTTATTGATTTCAGAGAGGGAGGGAGAGGGAGATAGAAACATCAATGATGAGAGAGAAGCATTGATAGGCTGCCTCCTGCATGCCCCTCACTAGGGATCGAGCCCGCAACCCAGACACGTGCCCTGGACCACAGGAAAGTGGTCAAATCCTCCTACTAGGGATGGCATGGTATTCTTAGTCCTTAGCCTAGCTGCAGTTTTACATTTGGTGATGATTGGATTAATATCTGTCTCCACTACCAGGCTGGGAGCGCCACAAGGGCCTGTAATCCTAGGACGGTTTTGTGCACCCCTGTGTCCCCAGCACCTAGGAGAGAACCTGGTCTATAGAAGATAATAAATGTTTGACTCAGTCCATCAGCATCCTCTTTTCAAATGCAGGCTATGCTAGTTCTCTGCAGGAACGAGTCAGCCCGGTACCTAAAACCAAGGTGAACCCCCATACCCAGATGAATGTGCCTCCAAGGAGAAGAGGCTGTTCCAGCTCTTCACTGACAGCCCTTAGGCCAGTGATGGCGAACCTATGACACTGACATGCGAACTCATTTTTTTTGGTTGATTTTTCTTTGTTAAATGGCATTTACATATATAAAATAAATATCAAAAATATAAGTCTTTGTTTTACTATGGTTGCAAAGATCAAAAAATTTCTATATGTGACACGGCACCAGAGTTAAGTTAGGGTTTTTCAAAATGCTGACACGGTTCGCCATCACTGCCTTAGGCTAAGCCTTCGGTACACGGACAAGCAGAGGCCCCCCTGCCCTGAAGGAAGAGAGGTGAATTCTGCAGGTCGATGCCGGACCTGCCGGCGCCTGTCTGCTCCCCTTCCCCACCCAGATGGAACGCTCGTGGGCACGTGAGGCCATCCCTCAGCCCCGCAGCCGGAAGGCGCCTGTCCCGGGAGCCTGGGCCTAATTGCTGGCTGCAGACTCCAGAGAGGAATGGAGGCTTTGGCACGTGTTCAGAAAACAACCTCAGACAGACACACGGTAGCCCCGGGGAAGCAAGAGTTCAAGGAAGGAGGTGGTGTCACCTCCAGAAACAGCCCCCAAGTCAAGGACTTAGCTCCCTGCCAAGTCCTCCCTGGATGGAAGGTTCTAGATGACTCTTTTAGAAAACTCTCCTCTAATGCACCATGAGAGTTTAGATCACCAGAGGTCCGGAGGATAGGTACGGGAAACGTCTTTCAAGTCAAGGTCACTAAAGCTCAGAAGGGACGGCTGCGAGTCACGGAGCACATCCCTCGACAGAACGCCCCGCGGACAGGAGCTGCCTCTGCCCTTTCTGCGGCCAGGAGGCGGCGTGGACGTATATTAGCAAAAAGGTCAATGAAGTGCTGTCTGTTCAGCGACAGGAAGGGTCCTCTCAGTCTTTTCCAAACGCTATTTCATAGCAAGAGAGTCCTCTTCCCCAAACGAAATCTTTCTTGAAGCCGTCATGCATAACATAGAGCAGAGACGTTCTGGCTGAAGGGACGAAACCCTTACCAGTTCCCCTCAGGCCCCTCCGCTGTGCAGAGAGGACCCTGGCACCCAGACCCGGGACCAGGGGGCCACAGAGAGACCACCCGGGCCCCGAACTCGCCGGCCCATGCTGGGGCCGCGGCCCAGAAGCCCGGATGACCTGCTCACCCGTCTAGCTCCATTCTGAGGCTTCACTCTGGATGCAACTGTTGAGCATCACTTGGGCGAGAGACATTCCCCTTCCTTTTTTTAAAAAATATATTTTTTATTGGTTTTAGAGAGGAAGGGAGAGAGAGATAGAAACATCCATGATGAGAGAGAAGCACTGATAGGCTGCCTCCTGCACGTCCCTCACTAGGGATCGAGCCCGCAACCCGGGCATGTGCCCTTGACCAGAATCGAACCCGGGACCTTTCAGTCCGCAGGCCACCGCTCCATCCACTGAGCCACACCGGCCAGGGTCCCCTTTCCTTTTTAAGGGCACTCAGATCTCTGGTTTTGCTCAGCGTCCTTTTCATAGAGCTGGTATTTGTCCATATTTGCAAGAGCTTGTAAAAATTCCCCACATGACTTACAGACAAATAATGTGCCCAGAGACCATGCTTCTGTTTCGTTCTTCCCTAGCCTGCCGCCTTCCGCACACGTGTCCTAGCCTGCCACCTTCCACACACGTGTCCTAGCTTGCCACCTTCCGCACACGTGTCCTAGCCTGCCACCTTCCGCACACGTGTCCTAGCCTGCCACCTTCCGCACACGTGTCCTAGCCTGCCACCTTCCGCACACGTGTCCTAGCCTGCCACCTTCCGCACACGTGTCCTAGCCTGCCACCTTCCGCACACGTGTCCTAGCCTGCCACCTTCCGCACACGTGTCCTAGCCTGCCACCTTCCGCACACGTGTCCTAGCCTGCCACCTTCCGCACACGTGTCCTAGCCTGCCACCAAAATGCAAAAGGCCCACTAAGTGCTCATCAGAGCCAGTCGCTGTAAGAAAGGCCTCGGGTTGGTGGGTATTTGTAAGCATGAGGAGTCTCAGCATAGATGGATGCAAGGGAAACAAGGCCACAGGTTCAGGCAGCTCTCAGAAAGAGAGAGAGAGAGAGAGAGAGAGAGAGAGAGAGAGAGAGAGGCGAGTGTCTAATCTCTGATCTTCGCAGGCTGGTGAGCACTCACTGTATGCCAGAGAACGCCCTCTGCCCTGCCGGCTCCAAATTTCTCTTCCTGCCTTGCCTGACTGGGAGCCACTTCCCTGGACGCCAGTCTCTTTCCCAGGGAATGGGAGAAAAAATGGGTGACCTAATGCCTGGTAAGTCTGGGTCTAGAAGTAAGTCTGTTCTACAGCCAGAAGACTCAGGCTAGAGCAGGACAAACAAAAGAAGGAGGAACCAGTTTGTGTACCTACTGTGTGCTGGGTATGGTGCTGTGCCGGTGATGCACTTGATCCTCCCTACCATCCCGACCCCCATTTTATCATGTTAAAGACACTAAAAAACAAGGCTCAGAGAAACTAGAAACTTGCCAAGCGTCACCCACGAATGTAGGGGCAGCTGAAATCAGGATCCACGCCAGTGGGAGCTGACATAGTCCCAGGTGGAGCTAGTCCCAGGGGTTGGTGATTCTTGCCTTTGGACCCACTTTCCAATTCCATCCTGTCTTGTCCAATGGGCTCTAAACATCTTTTACAGCCAGAAGACGTTCCTTTGCCTATCAAACGAGACCCGCTGAAGTGGCTGTCTGCTTAGCCTAACATTTCCCTAGTGGATAGGCCCCCGATCACTTATGACAAGAAACAGGACAGAGGCCAATAGGAAATAGCCTGGATCAGACGAGAGAGAACAGCATAACCGAACCTACCGTGTAACTCATCCCATCACAGGGGACCGCTGCACACACCCCGTGAAAACCCCCCTTACACGAGGTCTGCAAAGCGACCTCCCGGTTCCACTTCCGTTTTCGAAGCACAGTGGCAGCTGCCGTGGCACGAGAGGCTGACTCAGATGGAAATGCTGCCGCCTCGCTGGAGAGGCAGCGGCCGGGGTGAATCCCTCGCGTGGGACCGGCCGCATTTGGACAGAAGCTGCCCAAACATCAAAGCCCGAGTCCGGGAACCCCGCTCTGCGAGGGCAGCCTCATACTTGCCTTCGCACAGCTTAATCTTCTCTTCCACAAACAGCAGTCCTTTCGCAAGAAGCTGGTTCTGCCAAAAGAGAACAAAGAACACGAGAGCTGAGCTCCTTTGCAGGTGGCAGCCCTCTCCCCCTGCCAGCGTCCTGGGCGCTGGGAGCTCGCCGGGCCTCCGAGGTTAAGAAGCCTTTTGTCCTCGTGGAAGGCCGAGGCTCCAGGAGAAGACAGCCCATCGCAACAGAGTGAGACAAGCGCCAAACCCAACCTCCGCCGTGGCCATCCCTCCAACCGCGGAGGCGGCACGCGGCGAGCCTGGCTGGATTCTATGGACGGACACTGCTACCCAATGTCCTTCCAGCCTTTCATCTAAACTCCGAAAAGAGAACCTGGAGGCAATGGGAAATTAGGCAGGAAGAATAGGTTTTTTAAAAAGATAAATTTAGGTTTCTCACGCTGGCATGAAAGACTACACACAAAATTTTTTTTTTTTTTTTTTTAGTTTTATTCATTTCAAACGGGCCGGATCCAGCCCACGGGCCGTAGTTTGCCCACGGCTGCTATAGATGGACACCGATACCCAATGTCCTTCCAGCCTTTCATCTAAACTCAGAAAAGAGAACCTGGAGGCAATGGGAAATTAGGCAGGAAGAATAGGTTTTTTAAAAAGATAAATTTAGGTTTCTCACGCTGGCATGAAAGACTACACACAAAATCATAAGCAGAAGGATGTGTCCATCACGTGTCTGCAGGGGAAGGTTGTGGGAAGAGAAAGATTTAGTCCCTTTGCAACTGCAACTAACCACAGTTAAACGTTCTGTGTCTGTTAGAGGGCTCAGGCCCCTCATCTCACCGAATTCCAACCCTCCGGATCATCCTGTCAGCCGGTGCCATTCCCCTGACTTTACTGGTGCGCACAGTGAGGCCTGCCCACGGGAGATGGCGCTGGTCCGCCTGGCTCCAGGAGCTGTGTTCTCTCCACTCTGCTTTGCTGCGCTCCAGCAAGGCTTCCCGCCCGGACCCCTGCCCTCCCTCAGAAAGCTACGGCTGGTCCCCTAAGCCACGGAGCAGCCTCTCTGCAAGTGCCAGCAGCTCAGAGAGCAAGAGTGAGCTGCTGCCTCTCCACTCGCCTCATTACCAGGTTATGCAAGGCCTACGCTATGCGGTGGGGGGCCCAGGATGACAAGTATCCTATAACAAAACCTCATGCATTTCTTAGTTCTCCTTTATAAAGAGCCCTGTTACAGAGATGATGAGGGCATAGATGGCAGAGAGGAAAGAACTGTGAATCAGGCCAAGGGTTCAAGTCCCAGCTCGACCACATTCAAGCTCTGTGATCTTGAACTTAATTTCCCTGAGTCTTGAGTTCCTCATCTGGAAAATGGCATCATCTCAGCAATATCATAAAGTTCTGATAAGAATAATCATGCCCTAGCCGGGTTGGCTCAGTGGATAGAGCATTGGCCTGCGGACTGAAGGGTCCCGGGTTCGATTCCAGTCAAGGGCACATGCCCAGGTTGCAGGCTTGATCCCCGGTGTGGGGCGTGCAGGAGGCAGCCGATCAATGATTCACTCTCATCATTGATGTTTCTGTCTCTCTCTCCCGAGGCACCAGCCCCACCCCTTCCCCAGCCCGAAGGCTTCAGCACTTTAATGAGACTCTCTTCCTCTCTGAAATCAATAAAAATATTAAAATAATAATAATAATCGCTACACACACACACACACTCACGGTATTTTACGTCCTTAGTAATCAGTGGTGGGTAGTGGTGACAGACACACACACACACACACACGCGCGCGCGCGCGCGTGCGCGCGCGCTATTTTCCGTCCTTAGTAATCAGTGGTGGGTAGTGATGACCAGAATTGCTCTCTTAGCCCAGCTATCTTCATCCCAGGAGTGGGAAGTAACGGGAGTCTGCAATAAATAGGCCTACATCCGAAACATTAAAATGTTTTCTCAAAGGTACTGTCACATTTGTGACTAATGTAACATAAACCACATTTCATAGGTCCTCATAAAATTCACACGATAACGGCCTAATTTTAAAAACTGGTCACTAGTTTCCAGATGGCAGATGAAAGCCTAAAATCAAAGTGATTTACAAAGAACTCCACATGATGGGATGGACAGGTCATTAAGGTGAAACCCTAACTGTGTTCTCCACCTTCCTGCCAAGCAAAGGCAAGCCAGCAGCTTCCGGGTCAGAAAGCAAGAAGAGCCCTGAGCACCAGACTTAGACAGTAAAACCGTCCTCAAGTCTGTTGACATTTCCTCCACGTGATACAAAAATCACATTGTAGCCTAAGGAATAAACTTCAACAAACGGCCTGGGTTCTCCTTCCTTTCTTTCCAGTTCTTCCCCCTTCAAGAAGACATTGGGGGTGGGGATTTTTTTTTTTTTTAAGGAAAAGAAGGCACTTGTGTATTGTAGAGAATGGAAAACATTCTTTTTAAAACCCTCATAACACACAGCATGGAAGTTCTGAAACTGGGGTTAAAAGGCGCCTCAAAGACATCTAGTCTTTCTCCTGCTCCCCCTCCCCAGTCCTGAGGTCAGATCCAATGGTCACATGCGGTTTTGATAACAGTTGGGTGGGCCCGCCTTCCAGGGAGCTCAAGCACCTTCAAAACGCATTTGAAAGTCTGATTCCTGGGTGTTGGCAGATGCTGTTATTTCTCAGTTGAATAAGCTGAGGCTACGTGTAGGGTCTCCATCTCCTACGGCTGGAGCACAGGCCACTAGAGAAGGCTCTTTTGGGTCGGCCTCGCCAGCCCCGCCGTCCACGCGGTGGAGTCAGCCCCCTCATGCATGCTCACCACCTCGACTGCACCCCCATCTTCCCCCTTCGTGGACTGGCCTGGTTCCTGCCCACTTGGTCTCAGATTGAGCCAATCATCTTCTCTCCTGGGAATCTGCAGTCACCTGACCCCAATGGGTCCTGCATGCCTAAGGGCCCGCGCTTGGGGTTCAATGTTCTGCCATTGCCACTTACACTTCTTTTTTTTTTTAAAATACATGGAGCCAATCATCTTCTCTCCTGGGAATCTGCAGTCACCCGACCCCAATGGGTCCTGCATGCCTAAGGGCCCGAGCTTGGGGCTCAATGCTCTGCCGTTGCCACCTACACTTCTTTTTTAAAAATATATATTTTATTGATTTTTACAGAGAGGAAGGGAGAGGGATAGAGAGTTAGAAACATCGATGAGAGAAACATCGATCAGCTGCCTCCTGCACACCCCCTACTGGGGATGTGCCCGCAACCAAGGTACATGCCCTTGACCGGAATCAAACCTGGGACCCTTCAGTCCGCAGGCCAACACTCTATCCACTGAGCCATACCTGTGAGGGCGCCACCTACACTCCTAATATTTTTACCTTTGACATTGTGCTTTGTAAGTGACATCTGATGGGGCAATGGAGCAGGCATGGGGGTTTGGGGCCTCAGCTCACTCATGGGCCTGCCTCCTACCACCTCCACAGAAGGGTTTTTAGGCTCCTGCTCCCCACCTCCTGGAGCCTGACCCAGGGGGGTTGCCACCACCTTGCCCCATTACTGTCATCCTAGCCCCTAAATGGTGACAGTGTTGTGTGTGTGTGGGGGGGGGAGGTGGGGGGGGGGCTCAGGCACAGGGGCTAAAGGTTCCAGTTGGTGTAGCCCTCCCTGACCTGGGCAGGCAATGCCCTGATGCATGTACTCCACAGCGGCCTCTTGACCCCCCTAATTTATGTACCCAGAGTGTAGCGGTGACAAGCTTTTGGGGGTCACCCGTCCAGGGCCCATCGGAAGCAGCCACATTTTCATTTTGCACTGGGCCCTGCAACTGATGACGCCCAAGGACACGCCAACTGGACGTCTGGGGGGCTTAAGGCTGCGAGACCTGAAGAAAGGAAGAAAGAAGGAAAGAAACCCGGCCTTGACTCGGGCCGCGATCTGCACTGTGTTCGTCTTTCTAAGCATCTGTGCTCCCCGGGCCTCACCTCCCAGTGCTCCCAGCCCCTGACAGATGCCGGACTCTGGAGGGGCTGGGCGATGTTTGCCGCAGGCAGCAAGGCTGGGGCTGGATGGCAACGGGGCTGCAGAAGAGCCCGCTTTTCTCTGTCCATTCCCTGCCCCGAGGCACCAGCTACTCCCCTTCCCCAGCCAAAGGCTTCAAGCCAAGAAACAGTTGCATTAAGTAGCAGCCACCTAGGAAATGACTGGGGACTTGGCACTGGGCTGTTGTTACTTGAACTTAGACATGGAATACACAGCACTTTAATGAAGTGGCAGACAAGCCCGGAAACGAAAAGCAGCTGACATCTATTTTCTAAGGCATCGAAAAATGGGCTGCCCACACACACACAAAAAAATGAGGTTCAGCTAGGAAGAAGGCAAACAACAAAGATGTCTGGGGAAAGGCACCCCAAACCATCCCACCACCAGGGGCTTGGGGAGACCCAGCTCCTTCTGGGTAATCACACAGGGTGGGCGGGAGGAGGCAGGGAGGGCAGCAGAGAGGGGAGGCTGGGAGGGTGCGGGGGG